TTCCAGGAAGGAAATCAAAGTCTGCGAGGGAAGACTGGTCTTAAACATAGTCAGAGAGGGCAGATATTTAGGGCAACTGGTGAAAAGGCCAATTTTTCTGCCTTCAGATCATTCTGCTATACCAGCAGTTCTCAGTGTGTGGGTCGCGCCCCATTTGGGGGTCAAACGGCCCTTTCACAGGGGTCACCTGATTCATAACAGTAGCAAAATGACAGTGATGAAGTAGCAATGAAAATAATTTTATGGTTGGGGGCGTCACCACAACATGAGGAACTGTATGAAAGAATCGCGGCATTAGGAAGTTTGAGAACCAGTGTGCTACACCATGCCTTCGCCTGTTGCTGAAACAGTAACAAAATGGTACTATCCAGTGGGAAAAACCCTGGTGGCACAGTGTGTTCTTGTTTTAGTAACCAAAAGGTTAGCTGTTCAAAACCACCAGTCGCTTCACAAAAGAAAGCTGTGGCAGTCTGCCTCTGTGTGATTTATGGCTTTGCAGACCCCCTGAGGCAGTTCTCTCCCCCCTCGGGGTCTCCAGGAGTCAGACAGAATTGGCTCGCTGGCTGTGGATTTGAGTTTTCAGCATCCAGTGAGAATGTTTTGAGTTAGACATTTATAGCACAGTATGGTTTCTCTTCATTTGTTTAAGCAACACTTAAGAAGCGAATTTATTGTCATGCTAATCAATGGTGATACAAAGATGAAGAAAAACAAAAACAGTAAGCACAGGGTAGCTGGAGAAATACGAATAAAGACACAGAAGGTGATTTGGCCATTGAGATCTGTCCATGAGCTCAAAGCAGGGATGCTAACTATTGGAGCATGAGGTGCCAGGCACCCAGGATTCTGAGAGGAGATGGTGCTCATGCCACAGGAGAGCCAGACTCTGCTAAATGAAGGGAGGATTAAAAGCTGGTCCAGGAAGAGACACTCATTTCTGTGAAAGCAAGAATATAACAGAGAGGAACCAATGAAGGATGGCTAGGCACACAGTGCTTGGTAAAGTGGCAGGGCAGAGAAAGAGGAAGGGCTTCAGTGAGATGGACCGAGTAGTGGCTGAATCAATGAGCAGGTATCGGTACGGTGGTGAGGAGGGCACTGGACAGTGCAGTGTTTCATTCTGTTGCGCAGAAGGTCGCTATGGGTCAGAGCTGACTCGATGGCACTGAACAACAATAACAACAGAGCGTATGGGGGCGTTTATCTGTATCAGACCACCAACTTATTATCGTCATCAGCAATTTAAAATCCACTGACGTTGCGGGCATTCTGAATCAGAGTGACTGAGATAGTTAGTTTACTGTGCCAGCCTGACGGATAAACACATGTGGGGTTAATTGAAG